CTTCCTTCCTTCCTTCCTTCCTTCCTTCCTTCCTTCCTTCCTTCCTTTTTTTCCTAACAAACCCACCCATAACTTTCTAAGTTTGAAGCAGCACAGAGAATATATGGGTTAATATATGGAAGTGAGTTTTTTTTTCCAACTCCCTTTTTGGGGGGGGGGGGTCCTGCAGGACACATGGGCTGGTATATGCAGAGTGTTGAAACGGAGGCGATGGAAAGGAGTTGGCGTTTTATTTACCCCGTCCTTAACTCCCAAGGGATCCCAGGTTGATTTAGACCGGTTACCCAAGTAGTAAGAGTAATTGTGTATGTTCAGACTGGGGGGTGGGGTGGTATTTCCATTTGCTTGCTGGATGCTCCAGAGCCAAACCTTAAAAAGAGACGGGTGGCAATGCTGCTTAGGACTCTCCTTTTGGTACGCTGTTTTATTTTATTTTATTATGCACTTGTATTTTTAACCAGAGGCTCAGTTTTTCCTTAAACCCAAGCTGTCCCCAAAATATGGAACGCTTATACCTGTTCCATAAGGCATGGACTTTCCCACATTTGCTAGTGTGATGCTTCAAGAAGATGCAACCTTCTTGGTCAAAACGGAGCACTCCACAAAGGACAGTGACTAGGCACCTGTTGTGGTGAAAGGCGTGTGTTGTGCATTAATCCCAGGATTGTCCAGGATCTGTGATGGAAGGTTTGGAAGCTATAGTATGGTGGCAGGACCTCTCCACGTCTATATTGGTAGTAGGGTTTTTAGAGGAGCTGGCTAGGCCATGACAAGCCCTGATTGCATCCACCTATGAATTTTGAATGGCTGGGGGGGGGGGCGCTAAGTAAAAAGTCCCCCTTGTCTGCCCCTTAGATTGCTGAAGCTTCTTGGTGTCCACCTATTGTAACTGGACGGAGACCAGCTGTTTTATGCTGCTGTGCCATAGCCTTCCGATCCAGGATTACAGAGATGGGCAGCTCAGGAACCACACCTAATTCTACGTCCTGGTTGCCGGTATTAGCAGTCTGGAATTGGCAAATTGAACCGCAGCCTTTATAAATGACAGAAAAGGCTGTCTGTAGAAGGCTTTTCAATAGGGCTGCACTTAGCCATTCTTGGCATCTCCTGGTGGTTTCGGGAGTCTCGACCTCCTAGTTGTAATCTTTATAAACTCCTTGTCTCGCTGTAGGGTACGCAGGCCAGGGCTGACTTTTTTTCTGCAGACATTTTGAGGTGGGGCAAAGTTGAGACTTGCCAACCGTGGGAAGATATAAAACAATAGAGGTCTTGCTTTTTGAGAGGCCCTGCGGGCAAAAAAAGTTAATGGTGTTTGGTCAGTGGGCAGTCAGGCACCCTTTCCTTAACACCATGCCCCATGTGGGTCAAAGAGTTCTTACAGTAGGGAATGGGAAAACAACAACAACAACAACAACTAAGTAACATGTAGACAGCACTTAAGGTTTCTAAGAAGAGGAGAAATTGTCTGGGGAGGTTCAAAATAATTTTCTCGTATTTCCTTCGTCTCAATTATAAAAGCCCATCGCTTCGGAGCTGGATGGATGAGCAGGACTCCCAATTTATCAAATTGTCATTTTGTCTTTGAAGAGAACTGCTCTGGCATCAGATGGACAATTTCCACGGTTCCAGCTGATGGGGAAAAAAAATTAAATTTTATTTACCGGTCTAAAGGCGTTCATTGTCTGAGGCTGTATTCCAGAGGCGCGATTGCGTTGCAGAAATAGTTGAATGCTCTCTTTCTATTCCTTTGGCATTTGAATTCTATTATTCTAGCACCGTGGCGTGATCCATATAGTGAACACTGATACTAAATATACTTTACCCGTGTGAAGAATTATTGGGCACGGCGAATTAACCCTTCGCCGCCCCACGTTTTATCTCGACCTAACACTTAACAAGCCTACTCGGTTTAAGAGAAGCCGGGTAGAGAATTGGGTTAGGAGTAGCACCAGATTTCCATGCCGTGCTCTTTAAAAAACAACAACACGGAGTCCGTGGCAAACTCGGGGAGCTGAGTTTATATTGGTTCATCCAACTTTTATGCTGCATTGTCAGGCTGCAGCTTTCATAGAAACCTCACCCTGGTAAGGGGGAAAAAAAGTAGGGCTGGGACATCAAAAGTCCCTGAGCAGGAATGAGAAGAGCTTAAGCTGATATTGTACTGGGGATGAGAGAATTCCAATTCCAAACCCAAGTATTACGCTTGGGAATTCGTAGTGGGCTGCAGGGAGTGTGCCAGGTTCTCAATCCCTGCGTACATCCCTGTTTATTCTTTTCCCCAGCCCCACCCCCCTATGCCATGACTTTGCAACGGAGGGGATGCAAAATGCAATGTTTGTGTGTGTGTGTGTGGGGAAGCTAACATCCCCCATGGGGAAGAGAGGCTAAAAATGCTCTTGGGCAGAGGGAGAATTCTGTTGGAGAAGGCACCTCTTCTGCTCAAAAGCCTAAGATGCTATGTCTGGAGTTGGATTTTTTTTTCCAGCAGGCTGGGTTTTTGATGCAGCAGCTGGCAGGGTGTCTGGCACAAGAACTGCAGCATTGCATGGGTTTGCCGAGATCCCAGCCCGGGGGAGGGGGGGGCAGGGACGGCCTCCCCCTGCCAAGGAAGGAAGGAAGCAAGCAAGCAGCATCCTTGGTCTATGGGCAGTTTGGAAGCGTTCGACAATGACTCAGCTGTACCAAGCCTTGAGGGAGTTGGCTGGCCAGTGCAAAAAGTTTGCAACCTGGGGCTAAAAATACGATTTGCTGATTTGTGCACTCTGGAGTGCTTGGGCTTTGACTTCGGATGTGCTTGGAAACCGGACGTTGTGATTCTTCTAAATCCGAATGCCTCTCTTGGGTGGGGCCAGCGGGGATTTAAAGACGGAGGTGGGAGGCGGGAAGCGGGCATTTAAATCTGGGCAGTCCAGCCTTTGCTGCTTCTCTTGAAGGGCCAGTGTTGGTTGGAGGGCACTGGCAGATGCCCTGTGGCAGACTGGCAAGGAGCCCCTTCCTCTGCCATGCTCTGCAGAAAAGATACCCAAAGCGGGCAGCCTGGCACCCGTCTGCTAGGGGGGGGGGCTGGTAACCTCAGGAGCAATTTGCATATGTCTTCCAGCCTCTTTGCCATTGGCTGGAGACGGCCGAAGGCGGAGACTGATGGAGCAGTATAAAATCCCCCTCTAGTAGTGCAGGCACTCCTATAAACCGGGAGACTGTGAATTCTAGTTCTGCCTTGGGCATAAAAGCCAGCTGGGTGAACTTTGGACCAATCCTCTTTCTCAGTCAAAACCCACCTCATAGGGTTGTTGTGGGGAGAATGGGAGGTGAGGAGCACGAGATATACGCCAGCCCTCTTTGAGTTACTTATAAAAACAATCAAGGCAGCATGTAAATAAATAAATAAGCGTCTCCTGGTTTTACTGCATTGGACATGATTGAAGGTTGGGCCCGTTCTTATTTTTGCTTGGCCATCCCCTTCCTGCTTCAACGATTTCTTAAGGATGTTGCAAACAATTTGTTCCCCGCTTTCTCTTCCCAGTCTGCCTCCTCTGCCCCCCCCCCCCCCCGTGGCAATCTTGTCTGCAGCCAGAAATGTTTAGGCAGAGAAATAATTTCAGATGGAACAACTCTTTTAAGTCAGCATCAACCAGCAGTATTGTAGCCGTGGGAAAGCAGATGCCCCTATTTTGGGGTGCAGTTGTTATATTTCTATATAAGTAATCCAGATTCAGTTTGGACTGGAATTTGGGTCATTTTTTATTAGCATAGGTTCCTTCTCTCCATTCGTGATCGATGTCGTGATTAAGGTCTTACCGCTCACAGTCCTTTTGATTAACATTTGTATGTTAATGCAGTTGTTAAACAAGTCGTTGTGTCACGGGGTCGAATTTTATTTTTACTGTGGTTGTTAAGCAAATCACACAGTCATTAAGGGTCTTCCTGATTCTGCCACTGACTTGGCTTGTCAAAAGCTGGCTGGCGTGGCCATAAATGGTGACCAGGAAACCCCAGGACATTGAAGCCATCATAAATGCAGGCCGGTATTTGCCAAGGGCTCGAATTTTGATCACATGACCCTGGGCATGTTGCGATGGTCGTAAGGGTGAGGACCTCACGTGAACAAAGTCACATTTTTTAGAGCCATTTTCAAATTGATGCTAGATTGTAAATCAAGAACTATCTGTAGCCTGTGTGTGTAAGTACACACACACACACACACACACATTATTAGTGTTATGTCAAAGCACCTGGTATGCCCAAATATGGGAGGGAGCCTACTGCTTCCCTTTTGCCTTTCAGCTCCACCCTAGGAGCCTTCCAGGCAGGAAACCATTTTTTATGTTGTGTTGTTTTGTGTTTTATTTATCAGCACAAAGTGCAACAAAGATAGATAGATAGATAGATAGATAGATAGATAGATAGATAGATAGATAGATAGATAGATAGATAGATAGATAG